TTGGAGGGAGAAACTGGCTTGCTTGAGTCTTCCTGCCTCTTCCCCCCTCATCCTCCTCTCATTCATGCCTTCTTAAGGCAGCTGTTACCATTTCAGCAATTTTCTTCTGGCCAGTCGAAGGCTCCAAGTGACAAAGGGAATTGGTCATATCCTCCAGGAGGGTAAGAGAACCTGGGTCTACTTCCATCCCACCTTTGCTCCCAGACTGCATGTTTAGGGCCATCAGCACTTCCCCTTTAGGCATCCCAAACCCTCCCCAGCCCACCCCCATACCTGCACAAACAAGGCAGGCTTCCGTCTACATCCAGCCCTGAAACCCTTTCTGAAAGGGACTCCAGATTATTCTTCACTTCATTCTCAATTCATCTGTTTCCCCAGGACCAACAAGATTTTATAATTTGCATGACCCTTAGGATGAATGCCCATTATTGGCTTTTAAAATTACCAGAAAAGTAGAAAAAAAGACAACGTGCTCAAGCCATGAGTATGCACCTCCTTATCCCTACCATCCATGCACACACACAACCCTGATGAGTTTGGTACCAAACCCGGAGATGGGATACTTCCACCAGCTGACCATACCCAGAGCGCTTGGGGAAAGGGATGATCACATGCTCCTTGGTTAAACCATTTATGTAAAAATGAAACCAATACATGAGCACTGATTTCATGTAATCCTGCAAAGCAGAAAATGAATCAGGATTGCTCACTCAGGTGAGTTTTTCCTTAATAACAATGTGATGGTTTCATTTGTTTGTTTGGCATTTGTTCTTCAGTTTTTGGTCAGAAAGGAGGGCTGTAGCTAAAAAAACTGGGCTTCCCAAGTGACTCAGTGGTAAAGAATCCACCTGCCAATGCAGGAGACACAGGAGACATGGGTTTGATCCCTGGCTTGGGAAGATCCCCTGGAGTAGGAAATGACAACTCACTCTAGTATTCTTGCCTGGAAAATCCTATGGACAGAAGACCCTCGTGGACAACAGTCCATGGGGTTGCAAAGAGTTGGACACGACTGAGCGACTGAGCTTGCATGAGCTAAATAATTCTTCTACTTCTCTGCTGATCAATTGCAGTGTGGAAACTGAGTATCCAAACAGACTCTATTCCTGCCTTCAGGGAACTTTTAGTCTAATGAAGGGAGCAAATCTTAGATAGTATGTGTGTATGTATGTGCTCAGTTGCTCAGTGGTGTCTTGGTTCTTTGCAGCCCGATAGACTGTAGCCCGCCAGGCGCCACCGTCAATGGGATTTTCCAGGCAAGACTACTGGAGCAGGTTGCCATTTCCTACTCCAGAGGATCTTTACAAATAAAGATGCAACACAAACTGTGAAAACACAAAGAAGGGCTGAAAGTCTAGCGGCAGGTACTCAAGGGATCTCTTAGAAATCACCTTCAAGAAAAGGAAGGTAGAAGGAGAAAGAGTGGGAGGGAGGAAAAAAGAAAATAAAGGAAGGACCAACGATGGAAAAACCTAACCTGGGTGGTGAGGCATTAGTTAGACAATCTGTTTAGATTTTCATCTCCTCTATGACAGCAGAAGTCTTCATTCTTCATTTTTAAATCTCTAACTTTCTTAAAAAGAACTTACTTTAAAATGCATGACATCAGTGAGGGATTATTACCTCACGGAGGAGCACCTTCTGTTTTGTTCATGGCTGTGTGCAGTAGCGTTTATTCCCTTTGGGAGGGAAGACGAGCTCTCCAAGAATGCCAAGAACCGAAGCACGGGGCCAGGGCCCTGGTGCTTCGGCCCCTTCCGCTCCCCAGCGCTGTCTTGTTTTCCTAAGCCGTGGCCAGGAATGTGCTGGGCGGGGGCAGCCTGGCCGTCAGCGCCGAACCCAGCAGCCCCTGCAGCCCCAGTCACGGTCCAGGGTTGGCCTTTCACCTCCCAGCTCTCCCTGGCCGCTCTTATTAAGCAGCAAAATGTTTCAATATGTTGAGCTTTGGGGGAGGGACAGAAAGAAAAATCGGGATATTGTTGAGAAGGAAATAATGAATAACCCTGCCACCAGTGTCCATACCCCCCACATGGGGAGATCTGGGTGATAAGCGTGCTTTCTCCAGAAACGGAATCCAAGCCATTGCCTTTTGGTCAGAAATTTCCAGAGTCAGTTGAGGGAAGCGGGGAGGCAAAGATGAAGGAGCTGGCACTAAACAAAATTGCAGTGTCCAGAACCGAAGTAGCCCCCAATCTGGATACTCCAGGAAGGAAGAGGAGGGGAAGGCTGAAGAAACTAATTCTCAGAGGTGCACAGAGCTGGAGGTTTCGCTGTTACAAACTGACACAGTCTCTACTCTTACCTGTGACTTCTGCTCCTTCCTCTGTCACTCGCACCCCCACCCCAAGGTTCTGGTCTGGGGCCCGGTGAGCTGTGTTCCCTTTTATGGGAGGCTCTGGAGAGAGGAGCCCAGGATGGAGGGGACCATTAGCCAGGCCAGGTCTGCGGAGAGTGGCCCTGGGATGGGGCAACTGAAAGGCTCTGTGAGCATGAACCCACAAATCTGACCCCCTGGTCTACCAGTGCAAGGCAAGGAATGAGCAACCTTCCAAATTTCAAGGAAACACAAATCTGAGGACCCAGAAACCACTCCTTAACCAGCGTATCTTTTATTTATTCATTTATTAAAGTAGAGTTGATTTACAGTGTTGTGCTAGAGCAAGAGTGTTTTTAAATGTGTATTTTAAAATCAAAATCCCATAATAGCATTGGTTTCCTAACACAATCCACTTTGCTCTTAGAGATGCTGCCTAGAAAATGTGAATCAGGAGGACCAAACAAGAGAAAGAAGTAACTAAGGGCTTGAAAAACCAAAATAGAGGTCACTTGTCTTATTTATTTTTTAAAAAATTTATTTATTTATTTATTTATTTTACTTTACAACATTGTATTGGTTTTGTCATACATTGACTTGAATCCGCCATGGGTGTACATGTGTTCCCCATCCTGAAACCCCCTCCCAAATCCATCCCCATCCCATCCCTCTGGGTCATCCTAGTGCACCAGCCCCGAGCATCCTGTATCATGCATCAAACCTGGACTGGCGATTCATTTCACATATGACAATTTACATGTTTCAATGCCATTCTCCCATATCATCCCACCCTCGCCCTCTCCCACAGAGTCCAAAAGACTGTTCAGTACATCTGTGTCTCTCTTGCTGTCTCGAAAAATAGAGGTCACTCGTCTTATTTAAATGTAAAGACTATTTCTTTGCATTGCAATCACTCGAAAGTAAGTAGCCAGCTTAAAGAAGGTCCTGGTTCCCACCTCCCCTCCTGGATGGACTCAGCTGTGTGTCTCTACATTTTTGAAATATGGTGGTTTATGGTGATCCTGGACATTTCCAAGTAACACGGCGGGGGGGGGGGGAGTGTCTCTGGAAAAGCAGCTGGAGGCAGATGGGTGGCTGTCCATTAGGACAATTCATCAGACAGCAGTTGAGTTATTGATAAGAAAACGGAAATCAAATTAAAAGACGGAAAAGAGAGAGGAAGCGGGAGTGGGACCAAGAGAGCTGGAGAGAGACTGGAGGGGAGGAGACGCATAGACTTGAGTGGTTCCTGAAGCCCCGAGGATGTGCTGGGGTTGAGGGCGCCTGTCTCGGTATGCTGGAAATAAAGGCACGAGTCACAGCCAGCAGATTTAACTTCACTCTGCCAAGGGTCCGGAGTCCAGGGGCAGAAGATTCGCACCAAGAACTTGAACACCCTGGAGTTGCCGGAGTCGGGCTCCCGCTGGCGGAGCAGGAAGGGGAGCAGGAAGGAGTATCGCAGGTGGGTGTCTGTTGGTGCGGGATCTCTGGGGGCCATGCAGGGTCCCAGCTGCCTGCTCGAGTTGCATCCAAGAGGCTTTCTGGGCTTTCTTTCTCTCACTCTCTCCCAGGTTTTCTTTTCTGTCCTTTCCCCCTCTCCTGCTCTCTCTTCTTGCAGATTTCCCTCCAACTTTCAAAGAGAATGGGGCGAATCTGGAGCGAGGGCAGCGGGGGAGAACCGTGAATGTGGGAGCCTGGAGAGGCGTACCTGGTCCCTGAACGCGTATGTCTGTTGTGGCTTCAGGAGCCAAAAAGCTGGAATTTGTTAGTGGGGAGAAAAGTGTTTTATCAGAAACACATTGGCTGCCGTAGAAGCTGCACCCTGCCACGTTAGAGATGGTTTAGGAGAGGAAGGGAAGAAAGAGGAGAGAGACAGGGGCCAGACTTGGCCAAGCAGAGACTCACTCACGCAGAGGCACCTGGCATCCGAGGGCAGTTTTTGCTCCCTTCAGTCCCAATATTCAAGCCTCCGACAGCACCTCCCTGCCACTAGAAATGAGGCCACCTCATTCATTGTCTTTGTCCCTGCTGGAAACCCAATTTTCTTTCTGAAAGTGGTGAGGGGAGTCACTCTGGGAAAGGGGCCTCTGTAGACCCCTGGAAGCTTAGCTAGGGTACCTTTGTAAGTGGCCCCCCCAGCAGGGAAGAGGGAGACAGAGGGTCGCTGGTGGAGCCCTAGGGTGGTAGGTCAAGCAGAAGGTCTGTGCTCCCAGGGCCCCAGGGCTGGCAACTCTATAGATGTGTTTCCTAGGGCCTTCAGTGGCACTGGTGAGGGGGTCTACCTCTATACTAGCTGCCACCTCTTCTCTGGCCAAGGCACCCCCTCCCCGCTACTCCCCCCCCGCCCCCCGCACCTCCAGGTAGGAGACTAGGAAAGCCCTGGGGGTGAAGGGTGTCTCCTATTGCCTATAGATGAAGGTTACAGGTCTGTAGGAAAGAGACACCCCTTAGCCTGGCGCCTGGGGGATAGAAGCAAAGGAAAGGCAAGGGTACCGGAGTCCCCCTTCCCTCTCTGGTCCAGGTGGATTGGAGTCACACCCCCCACCCTGCAGCTTTCCCGTCCTCTCTCTTTTTTCCTTCTCCCTCATACCCCCAGGGACTCACCCTGCGCCACTCGCCAGTGACTGAGGTTTCTTCCACACAGGTTGGTCCTTGGGCCTTCCTGACCGTTCCTCACCAACCCAGGATGTTTCAGACAGTCCCTGACACGTCGTCTTACGTCAAGGTAAGACATGACAGCGTCTTTAAACAGGTAATGACCCCCACCCCCACCCCAGCCCGCCCTCCACCTTCTGCCCAGACCTAGAGCCCCTTTCTCCTTTCTCCCGTTAAAGAGGTGGGGACCACGGACCGCTCTCTCTGCAGGTGTGTCTAGACCAGGGGCCCTAACTAAATCGGATGGGGGATGCCTGGTTGAGGACGAAGACTCTTGGCCGCTTCGGTTAGGAGAATGACGTGCGAGCGCCCTGCAGGGAAGCCCTGACCCGCACCGGGACCCGCGGGCCAGCGTCCGGCCCCTGTAGGTCGTGCGCCCCACGCCGCGCCGCTCACGGCAGGTTCCCCCGCGTCGAGGGTGTGCGTGGACGCGAGTGTGAGAGTGTGGGCGTGCGCTCGTGTGCGTGTGGATGCAGGCGAGTGACCGCGGCGCCCTCTTCCTATGAGCTCGATAGCCCCCAGTCCTCAAGCCCAGCTTCCTTGGCCCCACCGGCCTCTCGAAAGCGCAGATTCCTATATTTGACAGTATGTCGAAGGGAGTTAGGTTTTTTTTTTTCCTTTTCCACAACAGTTCCCAAGAATGTAAACAAACCGAGGCCAGGACATCTGGGTTACACGTTTAGTGAAAATCCGCCAGCAGGGCGGGGCCGAGGGTGAGGACCCGCCCGGGGTGGGGACCGCGGGGAGGTCCTCTCGCCGCCCAGGGGCGACCTCCCGCCTTCCAGGTAGCGGCCCAGAGCCTCCCCAGCTCGGAAAAGGAAGGACCACTGCGGTTTGTCAAAAGTACTCCCAGCTTCTTGGGTCTCGGCCCCGCCCCCTCCTTCTCGAAACTCCGCCCTGAGAGTCCCCCCCCCCGCCCGCCCCCTCGTTCTGCGTCCAGTGTCCGCTAATGCCGCGTGGAGTGACCGCCCGAAAGGACCCGGGACCTCCATGGCGTGGGCACTCTCGGGTCTTATCTGGGGGCGCCGGTTATGCGTCCATCGCTGCTCCTGTTTTTCTTAAAGGAAATCCGCTCACACCAAGTAGCGCCTTCCCCGCCTGCGGTCTGAAGGTGTCTCTAAGGCACTTTGGGGAAGCCAGGTTTTGGAGGCTTGGCGGGGAAGGGGTGTTTAATCTCTCGGTGATGAATGAATGAAAAACGACTGAATCAGTGGATGGCTAGTCAGTGAACGGCAGGGTGGACCGGTGTCTCCCAGGAGGTGGCAGAGCAGACTTAGACTACCGTGTGCTGGGTTCGCGGTGTCCAGCTTTCCCGAGAGGTTAAGGACGCGGTCACCCCTCCCAGCCCGCCGCTCCCGGGACGCGGGGCACGGCGAACCCAGCTCTCATTCCCGGCTCTGCCCCAAAGGCTGCAAAGGGCCCCGGGGCGGGCAGCTGTCGTCCCTCTCCCATCCTCTGGGACCCCTCGAGTGTGAAAACACCCGGGGACCCAAAACCTCAGGGAGCCCGCGAGCCTGACCCCAGGCCAATAGTCAGAGAGACAGCAAACGGTCCCGGCCGCTGGGAGGGGACCGCTGGGGAGGGGTTGGGGGCGGCAGTCTATGAGTTCTGGCCGCCAGGGGAGCCGCTCGCCGCAGGAGCTCTTTTCAAGGGGAAAAAATGGATTTTTCAGCAGCCACAAAGTTTGTATTGTTGCACAAAGGGGTGCATTGATGAGTGCGAGAGGTCCGCGTGGCGCGGACAATCTTGGGTCTGTTCCGCAGGCTCCCTACGCCTGCCATTCGCCAGAGGGGCACAAACAGTCCCCGGCTGCCAAGCCCCTGCCATTCCGCCTCAGGCACTCGGCTCCGAGCTTGTTGACAAACCCCGGGGGTCCAGGCACCCGGGCCCCAGGAGTCAGGACAGGAGCCGGGCCCTGAGGAACCAACGGTGCCCGCTGCACCCGGGCAGCGATCTAGATTCCAAGTGCTCAAGGGAGACCGCGCAGGAGAGCGCGTAAGGCGGGCTTGAGGCTGGAAAGAGCAAGGGAAAGGGGGACAGCATTGCATCTGTACTAACTTGTTGAATAGTAACAACAACCCTAGGAGGTGGTCCATTTTGTAAATGAGAAACTGAGGCATTGAGACATGACTGTGACACAGGTTGCCAGGGGCAGAGCCAAGATACAAACAAGGAGGGCAAAGTTGTGCTGACTGCTAGGCGAGGTCTAAACACTCACCTCAGCTTTACAACAGCCCTTTGAGGTAGATCCTCTTAAAACGCCGACGCACAGACGAAGACGCTGAGGCACAGAGAGGTTAAGCAACCTGTTCAAGGCCACAGAGCGGGTAGGTGCACAGCCAGAACACAAACCCACGGGCTTCCCAGTGCGAACGTCCACTAGGACGTTCCACTTGCTGATAGCGGGGAGGGGCAGGAGACCCAGTGGAGTAACCCGGACCCGGTCCTCGCGAGGTGCCCGCACGGGACAAGGCACTTGAGAGTCCGAGCGCCGGGAGCCCATCCCTGAAGGCCCCAAGCCGCCCCACTCGAGACTGGCAGGGTCCTCCACGTTCCGTCTATGACTCCTAGTTCTCGCTCCCCCACCAACCCGCCTGCTGGTTCAGCCCACCCCGCACTCTGGGGGAGACACCCCCGCCCCCCCCCCCAACCAGAGGAGAGGAGGCTGGTAGCCCCAGAATGTTCGCCGCGGCACGGCCCAGGGGCAGCATCTGGCCGACAGGTCCTGAAACGGCGTTTCAAGGACACAGGTCTGTACTTAGAACGTTGTTTGGAGCGGCCAGGAGGCCGGGCGGCTGGAGGTTGGGAGAGGGCGAATTCTCCCCTCCCCCAAGCCCCCCATCCGGGCGCCGCCACCGGGTGAGGGTCCCAGCACCTGGCTGGTCTCCACCTCTTGTCAGCCTGCGCTCTCTGGTCAGTCTCCGACTCCCTTGGGATTTCCTCCTCGACGCCGCGTGGTCTGGGGACCCAGCCCTGGAGCGCCACGGGCTCGGGGCGCAGAGACCCTCCCCCTCCGGGCCCTCCCGCCGCCGCGGCCTCCCACGTAGCGTTTTGAACCCTCTTGGCGCTAAGGCAAGAACGAGCGTGGGGAGCGGGCCGGGCCGGTAGAGGCTCTAAATCTTCCTTCAATCTGTGAGTAGATGAAGTCTGAGAAACAAATTCAAAGCAGGCGCGCCTGCAGAGCCTTCCTGCAGAAATATTCCCCGGCATTCAAGCGCGTCCAGGGGGCGGCTCGAGCTGCCTTGTTTGGCTAAGGTCAGACGAGACTCGAGTTCTCCAATAAAAATAAATCTCAAATTAATTATGGCCTCGAGCGAGGGGCCAGACACTTGAAGCTGCAGTTGTGCAGTCTGGAGTTTTGGCGCTCGCTCGCCCATCCCTCCCCCGCGCCCCCCTCCCCCACCCGCCTTGCCCGTTCGAATACCCGCCGAGGCGGCCGGACGGGAGGGGCCGCGAGGAGGGAGGCCGGAGGGGGAAGGACCCGCCCCACACGCTCTGCCAAGCCTGGCATCTTTCGGGGGTTTCAAGTGACCGGCCGTCCCGAGGTCTGGAGGCACCCCAGGGACCCGGCTCCGGTTGTCGCGTCCTCCCACCCCCAACCCGGGCCGGGGCCGAAGAAACCCGGGGAAGCTTCGTCTGGAAAAGTCTTGACCGGGTCAAAAGGGCTGACATTGAGCGAGCCAAGACACGTTTCACCCCCGCCGCTCCCCTCCCGGGGGAAGCAGGACTTCCGCATCTTTGAAAATATTGTCAAGTGCGTACGGATGGTTAGAGGCAAGTCACCCCACCACAGTTGCAGTGAAAAATGCCCCAAGTCCTAAAGTTTCCTGAATATGCGCCCCCCCCCCCCCCCGGCATGCTTTCTGCAAGTGACCTTAGAACTGTGTAATGGACTGTTTTGTTGGTCCGTCCACTCCCCATCCCCCTCCCCCCGCCCCGCTCCCCCAGTGGATAGTTTTTGTTTTAAGCGCTGGTCCAAGGCTTCCTCGGCTGTGAGCTTCCTCGGACTTGAAAGCCAGCGGGGCTGGTGGGGTGGGCAGGATGGTAGCGGGCACCAGGTGCTGCTCACCAACCCAGCCCAATCTGGAAAAAGGAGAGGCAGGGCAGTCTCTGGTGAGCCAGGAAAAGGGTGTGAGCAAGTGTGTGGGTTGGGATAACCAACCAGCCCCTAGCCGGGCCTGGAGAAGGAGAGGAGGGGGAAAAGGGAAAGGGCAAAAGAGGGGGTCAAGATAGAGAAGGGGTGGGGAGAGGCAAGAGAAGGGGAGAGGATCCCCCCTGCCCAGCTTCAAGACAGTTTTCATCTGCAGCCGCCTCACCACAGGCTCTCTATCAATTTGTCTCAATGCAAACATTCGAAATATTCTCTTTGGCTGCTCGTGAAAACAATGTGAGCTGCCAGGATCAAACCATCTTTCCAGATGTCTGGTGGTAACCACATTAAACAGGGCAGACTTGTTTACTGTTGTGTTTGGTTAGGGCTTCTTTCCCCCTTCGGGATTTAAAAAAGCAGCAGCAGCCATGGAGTGGGACTTCAAACCCAGAGTTACATAAGTGGGCAGCTTTGCCCACCACCATGCCAACACCGGTTGCAAGGAGGCTCAGATTCTCTCTGACGGCTGTTCAGAGTTGGGGCAGGGGCTCTTCTTTCTGGGAAGACTAGCTTGTGAACCGACAGGAGCTCCTCATGGAGAGGCTGGTAAATACCAAAAGCTAGGACATCAGTGCCAGTCAGTGACTCACTAAAGGATGACAGCTATGCCAATGCCAGCCTCTTCCCCCTCCCCGCCACCTTCAAAATTACAAAATTGCCAGAAGCTCTGGTTTTACAGGCAGAAAAAGAAAGTGCTGTTGAGTTCCACAGCTCAGACAGGAGGGCAAGTTTTCATTTTAATCTCGTCCCCCATTGAGTTCTCCCAAGAGGAGAGGCAGCTTCTGCTAAAAGGAGTTGAGGGGGTACGAGGGATGCTGGGGTGACTTACTGACCAGAGCAGTGAATGCAGTCTGTTATAAGCTGCTGGGATAGGAGCTGGGAAGAGCTGCCTGGCCTAGCTTCTCAAGTGTCGGGAGGACTGGGTGTAGAAAGGGGAGCCGCTGGCT